GCGAGTTGGGCTCTCCGTTGGGGGTTCGGGTCGCGGTCGTCTTCTTCGAAGGGGTCGTCGGACTCTTGGGATTGTTGGGAGTGGGAGAGGGAGGTTTCGCGGGGTCGTTTTCTGCCGCTGTTGTTGACAGCTATGAAGTCGGAGGAGCGCGGGGCGGCGGTGCTGGGGCCGGCTTTGGCGGAGGAGGAAGAAGGTTGCGTACTACGGATGATTGCGGTGCTGGGGAGGCCTGCGATGATGGCTGAGAGGTCGCTCGGCGCCGGGGAGGGGTTACGGCGACGGTGGTCCTCTGCCTCTTCTTCGTAGTAGTCGTCGCCAATGCCGCCGTTGATGATGGGTTCGGCGGTGGCTCCGCGCTGAGAGCTGCGTTGGGATCCGCGCTGGGAGTTTGCTAGTGATGGAGATGGACGTGTGCGCGAGGGGTGCTCGCGGGAGAGCTTTGCTAGGAGTTGCACGTTTGACCGGGACAAGATGTCTTCGCGCCTGTAGTCGAGTCAGTATATTGGTTACGTATAGACAGTGTCTAGAGGAGGGCCGTACACGTCGTTGCGGACTATATCCTGTGGCGCGCTCGAGGGGAGGGAGTCCGTCGGAGAAGATTCCCTTGGCCCTTGCGGCGGGTCCTTCAAGATAACACTGAGTTCATCGATCATCTTGCTGCACCAAGAGGAAATCTTGCCGATGAAGTCGACCGGGTCGTCGTCGGCTTCGTTCTGTGACTGATCAGGCGACCCCTCGAGCGGGAACATCTCGTCGAGGACCTGGATGGCATCATCCACGTTCTTGTCCACGATGGCGTCGTAAATTTGTTTTGCCCTCTCTGCGAAACGCTCCGCCATGCGGCCGTTGATGCCCCTGAACGGTCCATATTGGAGAGCCTCTTCCGCATCGACGGAGGACTCTAAAGGCATGCAGAAAAGCTCCGCTGCGATGTCAGCAGGATTCTGCTGGTCGTCCTGCAAGGCCTTCAGGCTCGTAATCAGCCGCTGCGTGCGAATGTCGAGTGCAAGCTCGATGTCGTCTTCGGTAACGTGGTCGGCGTAGTCGTCGTATGGGCACAGCGGTGCGGGAAAGTCCTCGTCGAGGCGCTCGAAGATCTTCCAGACCCTATCAAAGTTGTCCTCCTTGCGAAGCTCGGCGTCGGATATGACGTTGAGTAGCGACGTGGCGTTGGCGCCGATGATGACGGCCCGCGCCTTCATCTGCTGCCTTTCGCTAATGTCCTCGATGCTGGTGAGGAGGTCGATGAAGAGCGCGTCGGTCTCCACGAAAAACTCGCGGATGCGGAACCAGTTGCCCCGGAAGACGGGCAGCAGCCGGTGCCAGGATTTGCTACCTGGTTTTGGGTTCCGGAGCAGTCTCGCTAGGGCTTCGGATTCGTGCCATAATGAGTCGAGCGCGTTCTCCTTTAGTTCTGCTTCGACGAGATCCTGGGATGCGTCATCTTCGATGTCGGATTTCTCCGACTCGTCGTCACTGCCGTCATCCTCTATTCCCGGTAGCTGTGAGCGTCCTGTTGTGTTCCCACGTCAGCATTTCATCGAGCGAAAGTGCAAGACGGATCGCACCTTGTGAAGCTCTCGGTGCTGATGAGCCCGGTGCTTCTGTGGGAGGGTTAGTGAAATACGTCTTCGCAAGGGAGAGAGCGCAGCGTTGACGAACTTGAGAATAACGTGTATGCAGCAGTCATGTAGGCCGGGGTCGCATATCTCTGTGTGCCGGAGATGCTTTGCGATCCCATTTCTAGGGTGGTTGTTAACCTTGCACTTCAGATGGTCCATTATGAACACAGATGAGCAGGACTCACCACTGTCGTTATCTTGGGGGTTGATGTCTCGCACAATCTCCTTCGCATTGAAGCGCGCAACTGGTTCGTTTCTGTACAGATCTTCCTGTTCCCTCTTCTCCACATCTTCCTCCCTTTCTTCCCGTTCTTCCGCCATCTCTCGCAACGTGGTGCTCGTCGGGGCGACCTTATCTCTTCCCCTACCTCGCGTCGTTGGCCGAGATGCAGCAGATGCAGAAACGGTGGTGGTCTCGGTGCTTTCGACGCGTTCCGTCAAGTTTGCGCCGCCTGCTCGACGTCGTGTCAACCGCACAGAACGAGAGTCCTGGACATCATTTCCCGGAGACTCCGGAGCGCCACGGCCCGTTCTTGTGCGGGCCATGCTGTTTGACTCGCTATGTTGTTCCTGGAATGACTGGGGTTGCTGCAAAGGCGCGTATTTTGTTGGGGTTGGATAGGGATGTTGAGTTTCTTACTAACCGGATTCTCTAACCCTAACCCCGACGATGATCGGATTGGTGTATGTTGATCGAGGCGTGGGGCTTGACGCGTTCACACTGTGCTCTGGCTGCCTTAGGTGTCCATGCGCGAGCAACCGCGTCGCCTCTTTATTAGAAACAACAAGGTTTAAGCACCCCCTCTCCAACATATATATCTGTTTATTGGTTCAATTGTGGAAAGAAGAGCTGCGCCATGGTACCTTATTATTTGGTAGACTCTCAGATAGATTTTTTTTGGAAGAAGATTCTGAAGGGCTTCTATTGCCTCACGTCATCATTCTAGGCACGATTTCAGGTAGGTACATGATGAAAGAACGGCAGGTTCACCACGAAGCGCAGGCTTTCACCGTCACCCTCCGGTCTCACTGGAGAAACTTCGAGCGTATCGTTTGCATTTGACGAAACGTTGTTGGCGTTGTCCACTTCTTCGTTTGTGGCGAAAAACAAGTTGGCTTCAGCTGCGCATGCCTATTCGGGCACTAGAAGCTGTGCACCTCATGCTGCCTGTGCCGACTTCTTAGCTCAGATGCCAGGTGGGCCTGTCTCCCGTTGATATACTTTGATGAAGTCCATGATGTAGAACTCTTCTCCAGTGTATTGCTATATAATCTTGTGTGATATTCATACGATTGCGAGGGTACTGATGTTGGAGCTTTGGACCCTTTGGTTGTGGTTAAAAGCTCGTGTGGCGACGAACGGCCGTATAAGTGGGTTCTGCCTTTCGACTACAGGCAAACACTGAAACACGCTGAATGAGAGCACTCTTTGCGCTTCTCTCAATTGAATCTCATTACCTCCGAAGATCTCCCGGGATTAAATGGGCACCAGACGGAGAAGCACTCCCTACATATGGATGCACTATGGATTGTTCAAACAGACTCGACTGAGGACCCTCACTTGAGGCTACGGTTATTGCAGAGGCCCAACCCGTTCGGAGAGAGTCTTATCTTCAGACCCTATCATTGCTGCTTCTTTTCCAAGTTCTTGAGAGGGACATCCTTTCCGAAGAGGCCTAAAAGGTAAGCCGTTCTGGTCAGACAGAGAAGGGCCTGGGATTGTTAGCACAGCACATGGCTAGAAATAGAAGGGTGGTCGCACCGTGACACCCACGTTGCCCCAGGCCATGGAATTCCAGCTCGCCACGTCGAGGAAGCGATCGAGGCCCATAACGTGATAGCATACGTAAATGTGACCAAGGTCGGCTATCCAAAGAGCAACGAGGTAGCCGCGCACAACCTTTAGCTCGTTGGTGAGGTTGAGCACGGCTAGCCCGACCATGGCCATGAGCAGGTATATATTTCCGAGCTGGAGGGCCACGAGACGGGCATTATCAGATTCCGCAGTTGGCACGGCGGCCGAGATGGCGCCCTGTACGATCTGCTCGGATATGAACCAATCCGGATTAATAACGGCCCCTAGGAAACCGCCGACGCTTTTGAGAAAACGCGCATCAGCTCAGTGGCGGGTGAGAATTGGATTGTCAGGGTGGCGAGAGAGTGTGAGAACGAACGTACAGTGAGATGGGCTCGAAGACGGTGAAGACCAGTCTAGGGAAGGTTGGAAGAGCCGCAGCCGCCGCCATGGTGAAAGTAGTGGCCGTTGGTACCGGTCAGCTAGTGAGAAGTGGGATGGAGGGGGATTGAAAGCGGTGCAACAACAAAGGTGGTCACCGAACCCTTGTTGATGTTCTATGGAAGGGACAGGTGTTTTCTCGAAGACGGAGGGGCGGTTGACAGGCAGGCAGGGCAGGCAGAATTTTGAGGCCAGAATGGGGGCCGAAGAAGGCGAATAAAGGTAGGGAGGGGCAACAGGCAACGCAATTGATCAGACCGAGAAGCTGTGAGACGTTCTTTCAGCTCGGTGGAGGGTTTGTGGTGTGGTGGTCACTGTAATGTGTCATGCAAGAATTCGGAGAGGCGGAGGCGGAGGCAGAGACCACGGATGGCGGTAAATCGGAGCGAGACACATGTCTTGGGTACATGAGGTAAGGTACACTGGACGGATGCCGTACGGAATAATAGGTAGTGAGCAACCCAGACCATGGAAGCCGTAACACAGGTGCTCAGGAAGATGCCTCTAAGGTTGCCGGCTTCGCACCGAGCTGGGTTGAAGCTACGCAGGCAATGGAAGCAGGTTACGCAGGTTGGCAGGACCCAATTCAGGCTCAGGGAAAGGGAGATCCATCATCCTGTGAACCTAAGGTGGGACGAGAGGTGTGCACGGTGAGCCATCTAGTCAGTGCCTTGACCGACTTGCCAATGTCTGTCAAACTCAAGGTTAATCAGTCCATTGCCTGCTGGCAGATTTCTCTTGCTAAAGTTGGGCATCCATCAACTCTTTTGTCCTTCCACAGTACCTTGATAGGGTAAATAGATGTATGGACCTGCTGTCTGCCTGGTATTGAGGCATCAAGGTATCTTCTATTACCTACAAGTCACCTTTGTGACATATGCGTGGTCATGACATGTGTATTGAAGAGAGAGGCAAAGAGACCGAGACTGACAGAGAAAGCTGCGTGCCGGCGCGGAGAAGAAGAAACGGGCTTTCGCTGGGCAGCAGCCAATGATAACCACAAAGTATTAAAGTTACTTGGCACACCGGCCGCCGCTGCAGGTTGGTATCAGCAAATACCGCAAACCCAACCGCGCTAGTCTCATTTGCCGCTTCTACGGTGGAGAATCTTCACGTGGAACTTCCATCGTTGGGCAAATCTTCTAGGAGGAGCCCTGCAGCCATGGTGCCTGTGGTGAGCCCGTCTGCCTGTCAAGCCGGGCCCTGAAATGCTGTAAGCCAATCCTTAGCTGCTTCACGCTTTGCTTTACTGATAGATACCCTTACCTACCCACGCTACCTTACCTCCCGCCTTCCATTCCTAATGCTCCCCTCCGCCTTTCGGTCACCTCAATCACTGCCCGTCTTTGCTACCTGAGCAAACTCGTTGAAGACTCGAGTCCAAGTCTTGTCTTCGTCTGCTCCTCCTCCTCCTCCTCCTTCTCCTCCTCCTCCTCCTCCTTCTCCTCCTCCTCACCATCCTGCCCGCACGCCGCCGACCTTACACCCATCCATCCCGCGTCCATTGTCTCTCCTTCTTTCCTTCGCCTCTCCCCTTCACTCCTCTTCTCTTCGCCTGTGTTGTTTCCTACCTCAAATTTTAAACCAAATGCCCACTCCGACTTTCCTAGCCCACGATGGCCTACATCGAGCCACGCCTCATCCACCTGCTGAACGATTCCACCACGCCACAGCTCGCTCACGCTGATCTGCCGCCCCTCCGTCTAGCCTTCTCTCGTCCCTCCGAGAGGCCCTTCCCACTCGAGCCTGAGACCACCCATCGCGAGGAAAACACCAAAGGGCCCTCGCTCGCCACCACCCACGGAGCCCCACCACAGAATCCCGGCACCCTCGACGACAGCTTCTCCGCACGAGATTCACGAAAGGATGACGAACCACCAATCGATCGGGGAGCAGTCAACAGCACCGCGCACTTACAATTGAGACTGCTCTTGGGCGACGACCGAGATAATGTAGACTCCTCCTTTTCTCTGAGCAAGATCCTCGATGAGGTGCCCGAAAACAAAGATGATTCCGCAAATAAGAAGAGGCACCGCAACGTTGCCACCAAGGATGACTTTGTGCAGCTACCACAGCCGGTCAAGAAACAAAAGCCAATTCAACCCCAAGTCATGCCGACTATGCCGCCTATTATCAATGGCTTACACGAACCTCCCCCCGATGCTGCGCTGTTCCCGCCCATCGCCTCCAACGACTTCAACGAGCCCGAAAGCAACCAGCTCAAGCCGCTTCGAGATTTCGCGCCTGTGCCCGAGGAGAAGGATATGGAAATGGAGGTTGAGAAGCCCGCTGAGGCTGACTCGACAACATCCAAGAACTCGAAATCTAGTGGTGGCAAAACAAGGAAGAAGGCGATGAAGCCGAGGCGCAAGTGGTCCGAAGCTGAGACAAACCACCTACTGCTGGGTGTCAATCGGCACGGCGTTGGAAAGTGGACCGACATCCTTGCAGACCCCGACTTCAACTTCAATGACCGAACTGCGGGCGACTTGAAGGACCGGTTTCGCACCTGCTGCCCGAACGAGTTGCGCAGGACTAACAGCGAACCGAAGATTACAACTGCTGCTGCCGCGCCGCCAACGACTCCAACCGAACCAAAGGCCAAAGCTAAAACGGGTCTGTTGTCGGAAAATATACTCATAGCCCAAGATGAGGCTGCAGCCAGCGAATCGTCCCAAATGACACAGGCTGATTTGGACGCCTTTCCTAAGATGAAGAGGAGTAGGGCGCACCGCAAGAAGCTGGAGGATTTAGCGGAGCTAGGAATACACGGTCCATTCAAGAAGTCTCACAGAAGAGAAAGACGACCTTTTACCGACCAAGACGACAAGCAAATACTCGAAGGGCTGGACAAATATGGACCAGCCTGGACCAAGATCCAGAGAGACCCACGCTTTAGTCTGTCTGGAAGACAACCGACCGACCTAAGAGACAGGGTTCGGAACAAGTACCCCAGCGTTTATGCCAAGATTGAGAAGGGACTCTTCCAGCCCCAGGACGGGCGAGGGGGCGATACCCTCGAACCAACGGTTAGCATGAGCATCTCGAATACTCTGCAGCCCAACAGGCCACCTCCAATGGAGGCAGCATTGAATAGAACCAACTCAAAGGAAGACCTCCCTAGGTGGCCTTTGTCTGTCGTTGACAATGGAGAGGTGCCTGCCAGTCAGCAGGCCTTCGACTTTGGCGAAACAACTACGGCGACATTCATGGGAAGTGCGGGAGAGATGGACATCTCTCGCCTACTGCTGGACGACTCACAAGTCGCCAGCTCGACCGCGATATACGCACCCGATTAGACGTCTGAATCGACGTCACCACAACGTTCCGCTGGGTGTTGGAATCTCAATAGCCCTTCGGCAGCTTGATCTTCATCCTGCTGCGTCTTTTCAGTGGCCTAGTGCACTTGCTAGGTTTCGACCTCTTGCCTTGTGTGCAGGAATTTGTGTCGAACATTAGAATCAAAAGTGCTACGTATTGTTTGCTTACGCGGCGTACATGGAGAATTGGGGTGCTTCGCTACCCGAACGGTCGTTTCTGGACATAGATCTATACCAATTGGGGTTCCGTAATCACATTTTGGAGATACGGCGCATAAACAGGTATCTTTGGCCAAGGATGGACAAAAGGGGGTTTGGAGTGAATTAGATGGACTACGGTCGTTTCTGTGCAAGAACGAGTTAGTGTTCCGGACAGGCTATCTGGATAGAGTGTCGAGATCCGGGCACTGTGAGCTAGAAAGCACCAATCGCTAGATGATTGTATTGAATATAGTGCACACGACCGGTGCACACTATGAACCTGGAATTCTTCACGCCCCGATATGCCAATGATGGAACTTGAATAGTCTCGGACAAGAGGTGCCCATTACGTATTGTGCTTTTGGTGGGGCCGCTGTCATCGGCCTTACCAGCAAAGCCCGTGTTGCCATGCGCCGGCCGTGGACGGATCCACCAACCGCCGAATTAACGGAGCACGAGAGCCAAGTGGATCAAGCACACGGACCATCTCGCTTAATCGAGTTGACCACTGAATGTCGCCGGATTATCGAAGCCCCGCTCCTGCTTTTGACCGCCCAGAGACACAAGTGTAGGGTTCGAAAAACCTACGCCTCACAGAAAATTTCCAGCCCGATCCCTCTGTACTCCACGTCCCGAGTTGAATCTGAGTATCTCGACTTCGACCTTCACACCCACCGACCAGATACCCCCATAGGCTAATCGGCAGTCAGACAAAATGGGCAAGGGACTGTAAGTACTTGATATCCAATCCTCATTTTCAATCTCAATATTGTCATCGACGCGATTCGGGATTCTGTTTGTCGCTCGAGCGATTTTGACTTGCCCGCCGCGACGAACTGAAGGAAAATTTCGAAGACAATATTCCAGATCATGATCGAGCCCATTCTCGACACGAACAAATATTCTGACAATGCCCTCACAGCAAGAAGCACCAGAAGCGCCTTAGCGCGCCTTCGCACTGGCTCCTGGACAAGCTTTCCGGAACCTACGCTCCCCGCCCCTCGGCCGGTCCTCACAAGCTTCGCGACTGCTTGCCGCTGATCGTCTTCCTCCGCAACCGCCTCAAGTACGCCCTTAACTTCCGCGAGACCCGCTCCATCCTCATGCAGCGCCTCATCAAGGTCGACGGCAAGGTCCGCACCGACATGACCTACCCCGCCGGCTTCATGGACGTCATCACCATCGACAAGACTGGCGAGAACTTCCGTCTCATCTACGACACCAAGGGCCGCTTCACCGTCCACCGCATCCAGGCCGAGGAGGCCGAGTACAAGCTCGGCAAGGTCAAGCGCGTTCAGCTTGGCCGCGGTGGAATCCCATTCTTGGTCACGCACGATGCGAGAACGTGAGTTTGCACACTCTGCACTGGTTCTGTCAGACATCATTCAGCCGTTGGATCAAGCTTTGGTCGATTCGTCATCACCCAAAATGCTCTCTTGTTCAATTCCTGGAATAAGACTTCCCAATCAATTGAAATCCCCTTCCCTTTTGAAGTGGGAGGGAGGCGGAATTGCAACGTCAAAAAGAAGAATATTGGCCGATTACGAAGAAAAGAGATTGGAGCTATACACATCCGACGGCTGTAATGTATCACCCCGTCCGAACCCTCTTTGCTGACTCTTTATCTCTACAGCATCCGCTACCCTGACCCCCTCGTCAAGGTCAACGACACTGTCAAGATCAACCTTGCCACCGGCAAGATTGAGGACTTCATCAAGTTCGACACCGGCTCCATTGCCATGGTCACCGGCGGTCGCAACATGGGTCGTGTCGGTGTCATCACCCACCGTGAGCGCCACGACGGAGGTTTCAACATCGTCCACATCAAGGACGCCATTGACAACACCTTCGCCACCCGTGAGTCCAACGTCTTCGTCATCGGCTCCGAGAAGCCCTGGATCTCCCTGCCCAAGGGCAAGGGTGTCAAGCTCTCCATCGCCGAGGAGCGTGACCGCCGCCGCGCCAACGCCCTCGCCGGCAACTAAGCGTCTTGTCTTCCTCTTCTACGAAATGATGAAGGTTGCGCGTGAGTCTGCTGCGTGTGCTGCAGCCAGGCTGCTCCGAAAGGTGACACCTCGGCTGCATTGCTACACACTTTCGTGAATGTCTCTTCTCGGGGACGGAAACGGTTATTTGGGTCGGGCAAATGGGATTGAGCATGATCAAAAAAATTACGGAGTCTAGGGCTGATTTTAGAGTTGTCGGCTTCGACTAACCCTGCAGATAGCTGCGGCCAATACCAAGCCATTGAAGGTCACTCTTCCGCCCAATCTTGAGTTCCCATATGCCTCGCTCCGTGATGTTGTCTCGTGAGAACATCGTATCCTACCTCCACCTGGGAGACAGCGACGTAATCATGTATCATTGCACTCTGACGTATTGTTGTCCGCCGCGTAACGTCTCTTGGTGTCTACTGATTCAGAACTGGCCACATAGAAGTGAAAACCGTACAGCACAGGCTTCCCAAGTCTTGACAATTAACGTAACTCGATAAACATTGTGGCTAGCGTGCAGACCCATAAGTTTTACAAAGTGATTCGATGTATTCACTTTCGCAACGTCCTCATGGGAATCCATTAGAGGCTTTCCCCCCATGCAGCTTGCCCTCGGAGATAACATCTGCCAGACAAACAATCATGAACCCCTCCATAAAGCCTTCCACTAGCAGCACGTCCTTAGCTCGAGGCATCAGCCATAAACCACTCATCACCCCAATATATACCTGCCCGCTAGGTAATTCTCATCTTACCATGCACCGACCTTTCCCCATGCTCAACTCCCAAGGAAAAGGGAAGCGCGGGTTATACTTCATCAAAGCACACAGCCATCGAGAGGAAGAGACAAAGTAGAGCGAAGGACAGAAAAGGGCCGCAGTTACATCGCCAAGTTTCCCGAGGGGCCCAAAACCAGTCGACCACTAAGCCCACACGGAAAACCACGACCGCACAGTAGGTAACCGGTCTCGTGCCCTCTGCTGCATGCTT